CCCAGATGAACATTAGCACATGACAATATACATGGAAGAGATTTCACCTTGGAAAATGTCCCGCAGCAAAATAACAAATGGCAGAAAAAAACCTGCTTGATCAGTTAAGTTCTTCTAATAAGGCAGGCAAAGAGGAGATGAAATCATAACAGTGGACAATTGCAAAAATATGGGTGCCATGCTGTTTTTATCTGGGCCAAAGAGATAATGTGAAAACACATGGTGGAAATTTATGATGATAAGACATAACCCTTAGGGCTGGATCATTTGTGTTTGTGTGTTTTGAGAAAAAATAATACATAATAATGCAATGAATAAAAGGGATTTGTGTTTTGATTAAGAGAATGGAAAAAGAGGATAATTCAATTCCCACTACCACTGGTTCTTAAATGAAGGACTATTACCACTGGCTTCTTGATAAATCTGAATCATTTTAAAGAAGGATATCCTACAGAATTTATTCTGGAATAAGAAAACAAAACAGATGCAAAAGAACAAACATAAAAATGAATTACTGATTCTAGAAATGCTAAACTGTTCCTCAAGTTACAAATAACCTGGCTTTTTATTTCCCTAGTGTACTTCTATCCTTTGAGATCTTTCCCTGCTCCATTGACTATCCCTCTCATAGCCAAGCCATCTATGAGAAAGACTTCATAGAAAAGGGGAATGTGTTATCAGAACAGCCACTGACCTGAGCTACTTCACACCACCCCATGCTTTTCGGTTCTATATCCGGAGCAAAGGATTTCCCCTGTCAGGCAGATAAGAGGCCTGTCCGTTTTAGCACTTTGTCTTCAATTTTTGCTGGCTGCAAGTGCTGGGAGGATGACAGACACACCCCATTTGCAACAGGAACGGCTAAAAGTACTCCTTCAGTACAGCAAAGAAGGCTGTCTAGTTAACACAACTGCTACTAAAGCAAAAAACACAGGAGGAGGAGGGAAGTGTGGCCCTCTGGGTGATGCTGGAGTATAATCCCCATAATCTCTCACTACTGGCTGTGCTGGATAAGGCTGCTGTTGCAGGGTGTATATTGCAGATATTGCTACATTGCTATTATTTTAAAACCAATAGAAAACACGGCCATGTTACATTTTATTATCTAGATCAGTGGTTCTCAACCTTTTTGAACCGCAGACCAGTTGGGGAGGGCTCCATGTGTGGGGGAGCAGAGGCACCCCACGCTCGTGGTGGGTATGTTGACCGCAGACCAGTTGGGGGGGCGGGCTCCGTCGCGGGGGAGAAGAGGCACCCCATGCTCGTGGTGGGTATGTTGTGCTGGGGGGCATACCATGCCCCCCACAAGTGCAACTCCCCACGAGTGCAACACACCCGCTGTGTCGGGGGGGCAGAGATCTGTCTCCGCGGCCCAGTCCTGGGAAGCCCATGGACTGGCACTGGGCCATGGACTGGGGGTTGGAGACCCCTGATCTAGATAGCCTGACTTACAGCTTGCTAACATACTTCTTTTATTCTCCACCAAAATCATCAATCAGGGCAAGCACATTAGATTTCTAGATAATGGAGTAGGAAAAATGATAACTGTGTGAAATCTTCTTAATACTTATCACGTCATCTACTGTGTAATTCAAACTTTGAAAAAATGTAGTACATTAGATTTAAGCAAACTTTACACTGTCTTAAGATGAGAATCTGGAATATTTTACTTGTTTCCACCTGAATGGGCGATTTCTTGTTAAATACAAATGGCTGACATCAAAGTAATTAAAAATGAAGTAATTAATAACAAAGAAGTTAGTTTGTATTACACTAGGAGGGAGATCCTATCAACTGTAGCATCTGTATCATGGATACAACACAATCGAAGAGGAAATGCTATCAGATTCATTAAAATGTAAGTCTATTCTCTAACTGCAGTAGTTTTGCATGTGTTGGGAAATTTTAATTTTAGAGATACATTCAAATATACTACCTATGCATGCACTCCAATATGTCTTACTCTCCCCAGTTTATAGGGTGGCACAACAGCACAGCATCCCCGAACATTCTGTATGCAGAAGATAGCATATAAACACTTCCAAGAGGAATAGCTGAATATATTGCATGAAAAGTTAGTAAAATCTCTTTCATGAATTCTGCTTCCTTCAAGAACCTTAAATTGTTGTATCTGGCTCCACTCATGCATTCTGGACCAGCTTATTTGCAGTGGGTGGGATAATGGTGATTTGGGTGCAGAGGAACTCTCTGTAGTTTTGTTGACATAGATGATTAGCTGATGGAGTTTAGATTAAGATAATCTCTAGACAAAATACAAACCATCCCATTTTTAAAAAATCTCTCATAGACAGCCAGTCATTAATGGAAAGCCTGCTTGAAGAGAAAGATCTTTGTTTGCTTGCAGAAGGACAACAAAGATAGGGAAGGAGTGCCAGTGTCTGGGTACAGTGACAGAGAAGGCCCTCTTCTGTGTCCCCACCAAACACACCTGTGAAGGTGGTGGGACTGAGAAAAAGGCCTCCCCTAAAGCCTAAAGCCATGAGAACGCTGCCACTTCCTGCCTATTTGTCAGCTCTCGCCTTAATTATGTCCTCTACAATTATCAATCAATTATCAGCACTACAGCCACAATGAAAACACTTTATATGAAGATTCTGCTTTCCTTCAGAAACGTTAACAACTGAAGACCATTTTGCAAAGAAAAATGGGGAGGGGGGAATGCCAATTCTTCTCACCCTTTACAAAACTGTTTTACAACATTTTAACAAGACTCCAGGGCTATCATTTCAGATAGTTATCAGCCTGTGAAACAGACTAAACATACATGAAGAGAATAAATGCACCTGTCTTATTTCTAAGAAAGCTATAATAGGTTTCTTTTCAGGATGACATTAGGAGAGGCACTGTTGTATTTAAAATCTCCTTTTCACAGGCCATCTCATGCACATAGTTATCCAGCCAAGTTATCCAGCTCGTTTCATGCCCCCAAATGAGAAAAAGACTTTTGGATGTACAGTACCTTGCATACATGTACACCAAAAGCAAAGCTAGAAGAAGTTTCCCAGCAAGGCAAAGTGCCTTGAATGAAGGAGACTGTGAAGGTATTTGCAAAGGCTTTCACGACTGGGATCTAATGGTTGTTGTGGGTTTTTTGTTCTGGCCATGTTCTGAAGGTTGGTCTTCCTAACGTTTCGCCAGTCTCTGTGGCTGGCATCTTCAGAGGACAGCACTCTGTGCTCTGGTGTAGTTTGCTTGGGAATGGAGTATTTATGGCTGTGGGATAGACTTTTGTCCTATTCAGGGGACGGGTGATTAGTGTGTCTTGTTGTGGGTGTATTGTTGTGCTAAGGAGAAAAGATTGTCTGTCACTGTGATTGATGGGTGTCATTAGCTGGTCTTTTGTGTGTAGTGATCCCCGGTCCTTGTGGGTGGGTAGAGTTTGTTGACCTTTTGCACGCTGTATTTTTGAGATCTGGGAGCCAAGTTTTGTTGAGTTCAAACTTTCCTCAGAAATGTTTATCTGTCCCAAATGATTGCTACAAGCCTCATCTATTGGTAATCCAGTGGTTCCCAGCTTTGGGTCCCCAGATGTTCTTGGACTTAAACTCCCAGAAGCCTTCACCACTTGCTATGCTGGCCAGGATTTCGGGGGGGGGGGAATGTGTAGCCTGCAAAATTAATTTGTAAACCGCCCAGAGAGTGCTTGAAGAACTATATAAACAGCACACTTTGCTTTGCTTTTGATGGTATTGATGGTATTGAACGTTGTTGAGAGGTTCAGCAGAACCAACAGACACGGTCTCCCTGTTTAGTTACTGGCACAAGTGATCTACCAAGGTGACCAAAATTCTTTCTGTTCCATAATCAGGCCCACCCAGCCAATTCTCCCCAAGCTGTTCATATATGCCAGAAGGGGCAAGGATAAAGTACACATGTTGTAGTTTCACACCTATCCAAGGATCCTGTCCACATTCTCAGACAACACAAACTGAAATACATCCATTCTTAAAGGACAAACAGAGCCCAAAGTTACACCAACAGGATATGCATCAGCTACACTGTCTCAGTCACAACAGATTCAAGCAATGTTGCATTCTTTTCATTTCAACAGTGCCCTCTCAAAAACACTCTAAATGGTCGTTACAATGTGTGGAAATATCTGGCAAAACCAGACAGACAGCTTATCTTCAAAGAAGTGGGGAAAAAGTAGAACAGTTCAACATGAAACTACACCATCTGAATCCTTTTGCTTATCAGTGCTATGATCGTTTCAGCAAATCACCTCAAAATAGCTTATCTTTTCCCTGAACCTTTGTAAAGCTCTGTGGCTTAGAAACTAATGGCCACTCCTTTCTTCCTCTCATTGCCATGTTTTGCTGTATTGGGATAAATATGAAGGTTTTCTGAAATCCCCATACAAAATATTTCTTAATCAATGTATGTAATATTTTTGTGTTATTTTTATTATTTGTCTACGTTTATTTGGAAGCTGCCTAGAGTGGTCGTATAGACCAGATGGGCGGGATACAAATCAATCAATCAATCAATCAATCAATCAATCAATCAATCAATCAATCAAACAAACAAACAAACAAACAAACAAACAAACAAACAAACAAAAAACAAATTGCTTTTCTTGGAAAGAGAAGAACCACAAAATTTGTGTGAGAGAACTTTTGAATCCTCAAGAGATGCATCTTACTTAGGAGAGCTACTTCAACAGCAGTAATAAAAAAAATAATAAAATACATATGTATTAGACTGCAATCTTGACCTCTTTGACTGGAGGATGCGGAACTTTTGAATCCTCAAGAGATGCATCTTGCTTAGGAGAGCTACTTCTACAGCAGTAGATACATATGTATTAGATTGCAGTCTTGACCTCTTTGACTGGAGGATGCAAGGAGATCCACAAGGCTCCTGAAATGATGGTACCTACCAAATGTCAGTGGACTCCAGTAGTAATGTCACCATTATGTCATGCATTGTCTGCAACATTTTGGGGTTCGTCTAATTTCATGGAAAACATTTTTCCTTACCTTCACCTTCTCAGTACTCTGATCTCGTTTTCCAGCATTGTTTCCCATAGTGATCCTCAAGTTTCTTCTGGAACTACAACAGTAAAAGAAAAAAAAAGACCAGAGTCTGCTATGATTCCAAAATCACCCTTAATTACTGTATGTATCTCAATTTCCTTGGGAAGAACCTGTAACTCTTTAGCAGAAAATAAACTCTGCAAAAAAGGTCTCAGATTCCAACACTCTATTCAATACACAACACTTAGTTCACAGGTATAACTTTCTTAGATGTCCAGTGAATGGTTTACTGTTGTCAGACCTTCAATGGGTCTCCATGGCCAAGCAGGGATTTGGACTCAGGTACTGCCCTTCCCCTTTATTCATAGGATAGCAGGGGCACATCCTCCCACTTTTGGGGCTGAGTCCCTCTTCATGCCACAACCAGCCTGTTCTTGTGACACCTAAGTCAGATGCTTGCTACCTTGTCCCTTAAATAGCTTGTTTTTAGGGTTGGTATGTTTCATCATCACCCTGCTGAGGGAAAAACACCAACAATTTTAATTGCACATTTGTATAAACTGTGATAAAACAAAAGAGCAGCATCCTGCCTTCTTGATGACAACTTGAAGTCACATGGATTTATTATGAGAAGAGAAACATATGCTGAGCAATTAACACTCTTATATTTTAGAAAGATAATTTTATTTGGTTGTCACGGCAACACAGAAAAACTTCAGCAAGATGGTATGGCTTGTAGCTTGAAATGTCTGAGACTTTCAACACTCATCTTCTACTGACAGGGATAATCCCACTCCCCTTTGCCAAAGGGAAAAAAAACTGGGAAACAATAAAGGGTTGAATATAGCAACTCCCTTGTGACAAATAAACCTGTTTTAATGTGTACAATATTCCAGCAGTTTTCAGCCTTGACATGTGGTGGTAGTGGCGAGGTATTGGGTCTGGCCCAACCAGATATATTCCAGGCCTCTCTTTTATTTTTTTTTTTAAAACACTTTGTTGAGATATGAAAAGTATGCAGGCAGTATTCTACCCTATTACTCACCTAGAAATCATCTAATCAAAGAACCAGAAACATATGGCTTCCTGTATTTATGTTCTAGATACTCTGCTACAGTTCTCATACACACGGCACTTATCACTACCTGTCTAGCTCTGACCTCATCCCAATATGCTATGAACCACCATAATAATATGAGAAGCTGCATAAACCAAGAGTTAAATGATAGTTATATACACATCCAGTGCTGACCAGGAAATTTTGGAGGCTCTTACACAGAACCTTCTCAATGGACTACAAGAGGCAGGACAAAAAACAATGGTTGTTGTGGGTTTTTCAGGCTCTTTGGCAGTGTTCTGAAGGTTGTTCTTCCTAACGTTTCACCAGTCTCTGTGGCTGGCATCTTCAGAGGACTGGAGTAGGAACTCACAGAGACTGGCGAAACGTTAGGAAGAACAACCTTCAGAACACGGCCAAAGAGCCCGAAAAACCCACAACAACCATTAGATCTCGGCTGTGAAAGCCTTCGTGAACACATCAAAAAACAGTTCTTCTGAATCATCCCCTACCCCAATCCTACTGTCAAAATGAGAATATTGTTGGGGCAGTGGGTATTTTGTCAGTCTTGGTCCCTAATAAATGTAATGCCAACGTTTGGACCCTTCCCAGTGCATATACTGAACATCAGTTACAAGCAGCCTAAACCTTACCATGTTTCCTCAGGATTAAGTCACTCTGACTTTAATGGGAGTGACCTCCAGGCAAATATTACAAAGATTACAGTCTTCAGGCCACAGGAAGCCTCAAGAATGTTATTTAGGTAGTTGATTACATTTCATCCTTCTTGTTGCTCTGTTAAAATCTGCCACACCATATTAATTTTTCAGGGGACAAGGAGAACAACAAACATTAGGACAAACAGTTAATTTGCAGGCAAGCTTCTATTGATTTCACTACATTGGTTATTATTTGATTTACCAATCAGGTAAATCAAATAAAAGGTAGTGGAGTTCTGAATACTTTAGCAAGAAGGATTAGATAAGAAGAATTAAACCTTCCCCATATTGAAATGCAAATTCGTTTCCCCAAATTCGCTTAATATATATAGGAGTGTCATTTCATATCTTATTCTCTCCACTGTTTTTTAAGTGTACACCCCAAAATAAACTCCATGAATGAGACAAATGCATTTGGAAATGGATTTAGGACTTGAAAGCAATAAACAGACTTCAAAGTTATATTCATCTGATGTCTGCTGCCATGTAAAGCACAATGCCTCTGCAGGTTTCCAGTTACTTCTGCATTGATCACACACAGATATAATTAGATATAATTTCTAATTCATCAATTGCCCATACCATCACACTGCAAATTAGGTAAAGGCATTTGTAAGTTCTCTAAATTCCAATCATGTTCAAAATCTGACTTCTAAATAGTGCTGTGGTTGATTAGCATAATATACCCACTATTAAGTGACAAGCTACTTCTGGAAGCTAGCAGACAAGAATAAATAAAGATCAATCAAGAGCATTTAACTCCCACTCTTTATAGTATACAGCAGTTCTAGTAAAACTGTTGGCAGAACAAGAAAAATAATGCCATTTTACTGACATTTAAGTACTTCCCAGCAACGTTTTAAACTTTTATGTTCTCCTGAGTGAATAAAAAAATGCTGACTCTGCAGTATAATGGAACCCCAAAGAGAAGCAAATCACAAATGCAGCCAGGATGTTTTTGAAAGCAGGTGAGAAGAAAGAATAGACAGATCAGGACACTGTTTGGAATGTCAGAGAAAAGCACATGGGGCACAGCAGAATATAAACGCAGTTTTTCCTTTTCAGTATCATAATACATTCACCTTCAACATTCATTTAATCAGGGAATCCCATTTCACAATACTGGAGGTTGGAAACATTAGTTTTTGGATAACTACTGATTATGACAACTGGAGTACTCCTGGATGAGTAAGAGAAAAAGAGTATTTTTTCTAAACTCTAAATAATTCTATAGCTCAGAGGCAGTGGAATACTGTACCTTTCAGATAAACTTTGGGAGCAAGGAAAATCCTGGTTCAAACTTGGGTTCATACAGTCAGCTTTCAACAAGCAATTCCTTTATCTGCCTCAGCACAAAATCTACAATTTGAGAAGACTAATTATACAGGCCCTCATTAACAATGCTTGTACTGAGATTACAGTTATGAATCACTTCCACACTTGAAATGCAATATACAGTTGCTAAGAATGACCATGTCTGAAAAAAACTGGTATTAGTATCACATATAAAATAGTGATGCACGGGAACACACTTCTAATATTGCATGGCTAATCACAACAACATTTCATAAGCCATTTTGGACAGGAGGGGGCAGTCCAAACAACACATTGTAACTTTTGAATGGGTTCTTGAATTAGGATCATATTTGGTTAAGTGATTACACATATTTGGCTAAGTGATTGCACACAGTATAGGCTTGCTCTTTTCCACATTTGGAGACAAGTACTTTTAAAATACCTAGGTAAATTTTTGGAAAACAGCCATGATAATTGCTTTGGATGATAAATAGCCAATGAAAAAAAAGAGTCACATTCTGGGATTTCCTCTTGCTTGATGGCTCATTATGAATGGTAGTGAGCACAAACGATGATCTTGTAGATCATTTTGACTACTGACATTGGTGTCATCAACATTTAGGTTGGAGTTTGCTACGTAAAGCCTAAAATCCTCTTTCCTACTGGAATGTAGAAATATTGCAAAGCAATGCCGGGTCCCTTTTTGACATTTTGACTTGTGGATATAAAAACAAAATGCTACACTCATGAAACCAGATGTATTCTGAAGGGCTGAATTAAAACAATCCGGTCTTCTCTTTATTTGGTTATACTTCCAGATTCTCTGCTACAAAGCTAATGGACAGCAATATCGAGAATACATTAATCTTTTCATCCAAGAAACAACAGATCATTACCAAACACATGCTCAAAACCCAGAATCATTCCCAAATAATTATGAAATGTATAAGTGTCATTTATCAAGTTCTTTCAATGGCAACATGAACATCACCTACATATCTATCTATCTATCTATCTATCTATCTATCTATCTATCTATCTATCTATCTATCTATCTATCTATCTATCTATCTATCTATCTATCTATCTATCTATCTATCTATCTATCTATCTATCTATTTCCAAGACAGGTGTTTTCCCTTGTGCTTTTAAAAACAACTGCTAAATTCTCTTTCATGCAGACAAAATACAGGTATTATGTGTTATCAGGCTGATTTCAACATATGGCATTTATTTCCAGGGTTTTCTAGGTATAGAGTATTCAGAAATAGTTTACTGTTCCTTTCTTCTGAGGGTTCCTTGGGACTGTGCAGCTTGCCCAAGACTATATAGGCTAGTAGAGTTAATTCATCCCCCATGCAGACTTGTGGGATGGAGTGCACTGGGAGACCCCCAATTCTTGTACCTCATTCCCCCACCTTAATAAAGTCCAGCCAGATGCCTACGTCAAAATACCTTGTCTAAAACTATGGAAGATAATTTTAATTTTCAATGAGGTTATAGTGAGGTTAAGTTCAAGTCCCATTATTTTATTTTTAAATGGGGAAACCATTCCCAGATGTAATATGGCATGACAATTATATGAATAATTAAAATTAGATTTCCAAGTGGAAGCCAATGGACTGTGTGCAGCCAGCCAAAATTTAAAAAGACAAATTACAATTTGTTATTCGATATGTCTAGAAACTAGCACAGCTCTCATGTCAGATTGTTTTCAGATTCCTATTTTAGCAGCAAAACTTTAATCTTCCATGCTTTTTTCCCTCCTTGCTAACAGGCTGGCTTTTTCATTCTTCAGAGGTGACCGGGCAATATAGAGACACAGCAAGACTTGTTAAGTCTTCCTTCACTCTCTAAGCATTTCTTTTACATCTGCTGTGAGATAAGGGGGAGTAGGAGATTAATCAGTAGGAACTACATATCTGCAAAAGTACCAGCACAAAACATATCTTAGTAAGTTACTTTTAGACTGTAAGTCTTAACTTGGAAAAATTAGTTTATAATAATTGACATAATTGTCAAATAACCAGATCCAAATAATCTTTTAAATTTTGGTTGGCTATAAATGGCTTCTATTAGAAAACAAGAAAAATATCTTTAACTTTTCACATATAGTGGTACCTCGTAAGACAATTACCCCTCAAAATGACGAATCCGCATGACAAGGAGGTTTTGCGACCACCATTTTGTTTCGCAAAACAGTGATTCCTATGGGGGAATTTCGGTGGACGACGATTTGGTCCATGCTTCGCGGACCGTTTTTTCGCAAGACGAAAATCTTTACAGCTGATTGTCAGCTTCACAAAATGGCTTCCCTAGGGGGCGATCTTCACTGGATGGGTGTTTTGGGGCCTGTTTTTCGCAAGACAGTGATTTAATACAGCTGATCGGCACTTTGCAAAGCAGCTTCCCTATGGGCGATCTTCGCTTGACGATGACAATTTTCCCCCATTGGAATGCATTAAACGGGTTTCAATGCATTCCAATGGGAAAAAGCTTTTCGTTAGACGATGATTTCGCTAAACAGCGATTTTCACAGAACGAATTATCATTGTCATGTGGGGCACCACTGTATTTGGCATGCAATATTACACTTGGAAACAGTTTCTGTATCTAAAAATAAAATAATGCAATCTGAGTTTAGTGAAAACGTCACTAAAGTAAAAATAAAAATAAAAATAAAATTCCCTCCCATGTTAGGAATTGTAGTCCATTCACCTACTACTCCAAGCGCACAATAACTTTAGAAAAAGAAGCATTTCACCAATTCTCTCCTGCCATTCTCTTCTTGGATAAGCTTACCACACTTTTAGGGCAGCAGCGACAGTATTCTACATCATTGCTTCCTACATTTGGAAAGGAATAGGTCTATAGGGCAAATGTTCTTGCTTGTGTCTAGAGCCTTCAAGTAAACAAGAATATCTGCCCTGTACAGCGGCTGTGTTCCACTTGTAGAAAGCAACAGCAAAGAGGAAATAGCCCTTCCTCTCTAAGCATGGGTGAACTTATCTGGTGAACTTATCTGGCGGAATGTCAGAGCAGTGTTTATGAAATCCTTTCATTTCCTAAGGGCATGGTGTATCTG